GTGTGTTGCAGAAAATATTAAATTTTTCCCGTCGGATTCCACAACTGTGGCCAATTTAGCCTTCGCGCGGACTAAAGTCGATTTTAAATTTAACGTCACAAGTGTGGACGGACTATTTTGAACGTAATTAACAAGTTTCATAACACGCTCAACGCAAAATTACAGCGAAAAATTTCGCCTCACAATTTCGTTATTAAGTTTTATGTTATTTCACTTTTTGCATGTGGTTTTTGCGTTAAAAAAACCTATTTCAACAAAATAAGGCCAACGCGAACACTCTCATACATATTTCTTACGAAATATTAAAAAAATATTTCTACTACAGCATATAATAAATAATATTTGTTTTGTCTGTCGTTTCGCAAATGTTTTTAAATTGTTTAAAAATTACTGAATAATTATATGATTTTTTTACATTGTTATTGTTTTATCTCGTAAAATAAATGGTTAGACTCTTAAGTGAATAGTGGAAATACTTACTTAAGACTTAGTTAAGAACTAAATTGTAAATGGCTAAACCGTTAAAATAAAAAACAGTTGAATTTAAAACGATGACAACTAAGTTTAAAAATATGATATTAAACAAACCACCTATCAAGATATAAAGGTAGTGAAAATGTATAACTATCCAATTACATGCAAAGATTTCCATTTAAACATTTTAGGTATTTATTAAATAGAGAACCTAACGTCCATATTTATTTGTATAATAGAGGAGAACAGTGAAACGTGGGCTTCAATGGGAGGCATGTAGAATAGGCAAACAGCCCAGCCATACATCTAAACAAGATGCACTGGCGATCTATTCTGTTTTTGTTATGAAATACACTATCCGAAGCACGAACGTAAACTTGTGGCTTTTTATCTCTGGTCGTTTAGAACCTGGTTTTACCCATTTAACATCCAGATTTTCTAGTTAAAATCTTATAGGGGGAGAGAATTTGATTTCAAAACTTGGACCTGGTGGGTACCGAAGCCACGACCATTCGTTAGCTACCATACACTTAGTTACCATCAGAACATATCGTCAGTTCTCACGGACTATTTGAAAATAGTAACAAATGTACAATTTCCAACAAAACCCTGGTGGTGTTATATTGGTCTCATAAATTCTGATAAAGCAATTCGTGTAAATAATTAACACACTCGCGCGGTGATTAGTCAACGTTAGCAAGTTGCGGCGGAGTTGATTTTGAATTCTATTTTCTGGTTTGGATCAAGATATAGTGTCTGCACATTCATTTTTAACGAGAATTTATGAGTCGATGGCATCTCTTAATTACTATTGGAACCACAGTGTAATCTGTAACAGTGTACAGTATATATCGTTACGAACGAAAATGCTACTACATAATGCTATATTTCTAGAGACACACAGTTCTATAGAGATGTGAGTGTCCCTACAGAACTGGTTCGAGACACCGAATTAAAAAAATAATAATTTATGGAAGTAGTTCGTTACTTAATATACGTGTCATGTGGTTGATGTTACATATATATATCTGAAATGCTAAAGCTCAATGGTTAAACGTGTTGCCTAATATTGTGTAAAGTGGGTGGTCCTGCGTTCGAATCCCAGGAAAACAAAATTTTTTGTTGAGTAGGGGCAGAAGTTTGATCAACTATTTGAATTTTAAACGGACATAGTAATGTTTTCACCCCTCCTACGAGGGGAAACGGGATTTTACACATAGTCAATAAAACACTTTTAGCGGTATGTATTAGTGAACTTATTATTTATTTAAGTAATTTTTATTACTTGGCGTGGCTTTCATACGCTTGTAAAACATAATAGTTCTCTAGTCAATAAATATACATAACAACGGTGTTATGATCATAGCCCGACATAGCATTTAAGCCTAAATTTACTATCACTGCATACAATAATTTCAATTCCACGGGCCGTTACCCAGGCATCACAAAGCCTAGGGCACAGGTTATCTAATTCACTGAAGTGGCGAGGCGTGCCGGAAGGAGGCTGTGACGTCGCCGGAAGTGCTGTGGCGCCACCTGCCTCAAACTTGAGGTAATTTGCCACTTTATTGTGCGACGAGCTAAGGCGAGAAAACGAGCGTTGCTTTTAATTGCTTTGCGCGTTATTAAAACACCTCGAGTTTTTATTAAGTTTAAATTCTTATGCGATGTTTATTGTCTACTCTAAGTTTATTCCAGAGAATTAACGGTTCACAAAATATATAGTAGGTTTACTTAAATACGTATTCATGATCGTTGAAATTAAATTAAAATAAATACTTCAACGGTTTAAAATGCGATATATATATATATTTTTTTAATTTTAAATTAAGAATTTGAAAATTATTTTAACTACTACCCGAAGTTTTGGATGCTTTGCAGCGGCCGTGGTTACGGGGAGACTAAAATTGGAAAATAATTGGAACTTAGGTGATCATTTTAGGGCATCATTTAAAATGATCTTCTAGGTACTCAAAATTCTTAATAAGGATGACTAATCGAACACTAAACTTTGTGATTTGTGAAGTGTATTAACTACAAAGACAAACAAACTAAACTTAATAAAGTAAACTAATAAAATAAATGTTTCTCCCTGAAAACTAAGCTATATTAAACGCTGGTACGATTCTAGAAATTACATTGTGTTACCAAGACCGTAATATTGCTCGCGAGCTTAAACCGACCTTTTTAAGATTGATGTTTAAAATGTTTAGAAGCTTAGTGAATTTCTGAACTCATATGAGTTATAGCGCAGCTACGCGCGGGTGTCCCAGTTTTGCGTTTGTAGAGAGCAAAGTGTTGTGTATAAACTTTACCGGCGCCGCTTATTGGTCTATTTTTCAGGCTTCAAAGTTGGGACTTAGCATCTATTTGTATCTAGCAAATCGGTCTTGTCTCCATATATAACACTTGTGTGTAAACTTAGTTTTTTTATGATAAAACGCTACAAAACCGCGCCACTACAAGGTGAACTATCTCAGCCATATAACCACGATGCGCTGTCGACCTATTTTGTCTTTAAATATTCTACAATCCACAGACTGAAAGCGAAACGTTATAAATATATACATAAAATACACAGTGTTTTTATCTGTGGTGACCTGGAGGATGGATTTTTGACAATCCTACATTTGACATTTAATGTACCGACTTCCAGACGAAGTCCAAAATGTTACAGAAAAAATTATAAATTAGTTGGAAAAATGTCAGCCGTCAAATCTATGACCCGTTAATTATCAAAAGCAAGAAGGTGGATATAAAAAAAAATGCTTTAAACAACTCAAATAACACCAGGTTAAGGTGTCTTCCAATTTAGAAATTTTATAAAAGGGACATCTATTTCCCATTGCTCTCCATTCCAGTATATAGTTTAATTTGTAATATTATTATGTTTTGTGCAATAAATAATATATAAATATAAATAAATAAATAAATAAATATATACAATCTTACCATTAAAACTTAAGAACTGATATTATCTAAAATATATACTAGGAAAAATCCTATTTTAGTACATAGTGTTCTAATTCAAACCTTTAGATATTCAACTGTAAAGACGATCGGTAAAGTACTTTCTTTTATGAAAACAAGAATTATAAACGGTTTGATAGCGTGGATATTGTTGAATGTAGGCGAAGTTATAAAACACAAATCGGATAGCGACAATTCAAAAAGAATGCGAAGTGAACTCAAAGTGGAATGAGAAGACGGCATAAATCGGACGCATTGAGGTTTGTATCTATCATACACAAAGCTCAACATTACAAATAATTACCATAAAATTCTTTTAACGGGTTGAAACGCGAATTATATAAATTTATATAATTAATGCTTCGCAGCAATGAAATGTCGGGTTGAAATGAAAAAATAATTACCTATCATTGTAAGCGTTTTAAACCGGTTATATGCGTTTTATTTATATGTACATACCTATATATAAATTGACATTGAGTAAATACCTAGATATAATCCCTTTTTTAAACCTGTGTTTGTCAATTCACAGAAGGATTTCATTTTGTGATCATTGTCAAACCTAAGAATAATTTAGATAACAAAGTCTGGATAATATTATTATTTATTTATTTTATTTATTTATATCTTTTTTTAAATTATATTAGCTCAAACTACAAACCCCACATTTACTTTACTTTAAGAGTGACGGTTTGTCTACGTAGCAGAGGTAGACACCGAAATCTCGATCGAAATCTGTCGCTCTAACCAATTGAGCTACCGTAAATTTTTTGATTTTTAATTATATAGTGCCATTGAAGGCAAGTTTAAGAATGTCTATAAGTATATTGTACCAATTAAAAACTATTTATTATATGCAATTAAAACTAAGTCTTTTAACAAAGCTATTACTTACCTCAGTGCATCCAGCACTAGTAAATAAACTCGTCTCAATTGTACCCATTTCTCGGTCGAGAATAATGTTTTTGTTTATTTTAAGCTTATTCCGCTAGTGTATTGCTCCATTCTACATCCATTATTTACGAATCTTACTTTAAATTGTAAAGAAGTCTGTGGTCTTATCTAGCTGCAACGTGCACTTCGTCTGTGACGTCATTCACTTTTTATTTTATCTGTTTTATCGTCTGTGTGGTTTTCAAAATGTTGATTACGTCATTAATCGTTTCTGTTCTAAACTTAATTAAATAGCAAATTTCGCTTAATAAAAAAATACCTTAAAGAACAATCACACAGTAGTTTAATGTTAAAATAGATAATTAATTGTTTTAAATTATATCTTAAGTCTTATATATTTGTTATAATTAATTAAATGGTTAGATAAAGAATTCTTTAACTGTTCGGAGATAAGTTAGAACGTGTATAATTAGACGCCTGTTGTATATGTTTGTCTAGACGAGACAATCATTGTTAATTAATTATTAGTTGAAATCTATATTTACGATTTGAAAACATGTAATTACACTAGTTTAAATGAATTATGGTATACGTATAATAAGAAATATATTTAGCTTCATTGTTTCACGGTTTAATCCGTTTGAAAAGTTATAATAACTTACCAACAACGTGTATGAAAGCAGAGCGAACTTGTGTATGGAAGGATGGTGCATCAGCAGACACCTCGCAACGAAACCTTCCGGCCAGCGCACGCGTCGCTTCTCGTAACACCACTTGCTGAGATGTCGATCTTGATACCTGAAACGTTTTCTTTGTTTCATACATTGTAATAGTTAATAATTTAATATGAATTTACATTTCAAGTCATTTCATTTCAAAATAATTTCATGGTTTGTTTGTTGTGTCTACACGCTTGAAAAATGTAGTTTGATCGGGATTTAAGGTACATCTTAAAATTAAAAGCCAACAAGTTAAAAAAAAAACTTTTAATTAAAATATGGGATTAAAATTAAGTGTGCATATAAAAGGTATATTTTTTTAATTAAGTTTTAATGCTTTTGTATCTATACTTAAAGTATACATTATATACTTCGCATCGTTTATTTATTTTTTCACAAAAACTCAGATAAACTTCATTCGTTTGTTTCACTTATGGGGGGTATAGTTAGACACATTTTTGTACCTGTCTTTCTTGTGAATATTATTAACAGGCAAGATATTCGGGTAAGTAGTCTTCCGTTCATACACTTTTTCGCGCGCTATCAATGTTATATAGTGGAGGACAAACAAGCATAGTATATAAGCTGGATGGAATTTCGATATTCCTACCACCCATTTACGTGTTACCTAGCATTGCGTTAAGCGCGAGAGGTCCTGGGTTTTTAATCCTGGGGAAACAGTAAATTGTTTCGGTCGAGCAGGGCACAGAAGTCTGATCTACACAGAACTACTTGCCTGTAAATAAAAACGAACACTGAAATGCGTTCGCTCTATGCCCCACGAAGGGGAACGGAATTTCACTCCAAGCACATTTAATATTCAAAATTCTAGACAAAGTCTAACATGTTCAGTTAAAAGTTTATCATAAAATGAAAAATTTCAAACACGTTAGACCCGTTGTTGGTCAAACATTGCTACCATAAGACCACTGCCCTTGACCCGTTAACTCAACTAAATACATCGCAGTAAATGTAAATAAATAATTGAGTCAATAAGTATTGTGTGTGTTAGTGCTACAACAGAGGCGGTCAAACGCAAAATGGCGGGCCATAATTGAATGAAACCAGGGAACATGCGGTCATGTCGGGCAAGGCATGATATCATTAGCATCCCTATGTCAGCGGATACGGTCTGCAATCCCTCTTCACCCTCCACACGTGTCTCTTTGCATATTCACTAATCCCACTCTTTGGTAGCTAAGGATAATGTAAGCGTACCAATATTTGAGGGTTACCTTACCTTGAATATTTATATAACTATACATATAGACCGAAAATATATTATAATTAAATAATAACGTAGATAATATATCACTACAATGATATATAATTATATATTATACACAACGTTCACAGTTTTTCTGTAATGTATTTAGTATCAGTATTGCCGCCGAGCGAAGCCCGGACGGGTCGCTAGTTAATTAATAATGTTACTGATAACCCAACTAGAAATAATTAAGATTAACACCTATACTAATATTGGAAAGCTGAAGTTTGTTTGTTTGAACGAGCTAATCTCAGGGACTACTGGTTCGAATTGAAAAAATATTTGTATGTCGGTTAGAGCATTTATCCAGGTACGTAACAACTTATAAAACAATTTAAGGGTTTTCGTTGCGTTTGAAACGCTGCGAAAACGGTATAAGATATTCAAAAATATGTATACAAGAAAAATTCCTTTTTAAATAAACTAGAAATGTCAGTCATACTACATGTCTATCTTTAAAAGGTAACTTGCAAAAACGATCAGCGTAGCAGATTTGCCTAATGAAAACATCAATCGCCCGTACAACAAAACCTTCCTAATGTGTGTATTAATTACTCAAAGTGGCTGAAACGCTCGCAACAGAGTTTAGTTTCAAAGCGTTCCCGGGTATAATTAAAGCAAGGTTTTTCCTCCATTCAATGTCCAGTAATATCCTTTGTCCCACTTCTTTGTATTGATCCGACATTGGAAAATAAGATTGCTGCCCTATCGCTTTACGCACTGTGCATTCATAATATCGCTACAATAGTCTCGTCGCGTACTAGGGAATTAAGTTATTTGTACTACAAATGTATAAAGGAAGGCCCATCATATATTTAATCTATATCCAAAAAGTAAAGACCCATTTTACCTGCGGGTATGTGGCGAACACATTTTTGATAAGTTTCACTGATCAACTTTCTTTACACACGAGTAAATATAGTCTGTATCGCGAAATGTATTATAAAATTTTAACTATAGCCCGCGTTTTAAACCTTAAAGTGTTTTATTTAAATATATACAAGCAACTTCTGGCCAAGCCTGAATTACGCAGTTATTTTGTCGGGATTCAAACCTAAGACCTTCCGTGAATAACGCAAGGCAATTTCAATTTTACATTTTTGTTCTAATGGTGGCAATGGCTAATAAACAACGAGTCGTGGATTCGATACCCGTTCCTAAATGTTTCTTATCAATTTATAATATTTCTGAATCACATTGGATTTCGGGAAATCTGAATATTAAATGGGGGATAGCATTAACGGAATTATCGTCCGCGTCACGAACCACATCCACAAATAAAAAGGCCGTGGTTTCAGTCTGTGGATTTTCGAAAAATAGATCTACATCTTGTTGAGATGTTATATGACAACCTCACGCTTTCGTAAAAAAATGTTTGACGACTTTTCGTAGGTACTTAGTAATATTGCGCAGTTGGTACGCTATAACTTGTTTACATTGACCAAGGTTCATTTAAATTTTTCACAACGCTCACTATATTATCGTCGTCGCTGAAATGGCTTTTATATTTTCTACTTGTATTTTTATGCGCAACTACCTTTTTGAAAAGGGACAAATTACGCGAAAGCCATTCGTTACGGTTTTATTTTACTGTCGTAAAAGATATATAATATAATTTTTGTCAAGATTTTAAAACTATTTATATTAAACAAAATAATAAACAATCCAGGTAGTCTTAACAATAACCAAACAATTAATTGTACAACTCATATTTTATTCATCATGGGCGATGTTTTATAGTAGCCTTTCTCGATAAATGTTCTAACCAACACAAAAATATTTTTTCAATTTGAACCCGTAGTTCTTGAGATTAGCGCGTTTAAATAAACAAACAAACTCCTCAGCTTTATAAATTTGTATAGATTAGTCAATGCTCATAACATGTATATAAAGAAAATAAGATGAAGAATATCTTCAGTGAGTGAACTGACTAATGTTTAATTATTCAGTACTAGCTGGTGCCCGCGACTTCGTCTACGCAGGGTTAGTATTTGGAGTAGCTTATATTAGCGTGGCGTAGAAAAGAATTAACGCGCACGCCAGAATAGCTCGCAGAAATGAAGGTTTTTTCCTAGTTACTTGACACTTAATAATATATTTCTGACAGCTCACACAATATCTTTATAAATTGTAGCCTTTATTCTATGTATAAGCTATATTATTGAAAAGTTTAATTGAAATCCATTCAGTAGTTTTTGCGTGAAAGAGTAACAAACATCCATCCACACATACAAACTTTCACGTTTATAATATTAGTAGGATATAAAATATCTAAACGATCAAATTTATCAAATAAACGACAATTTCACGGAAACCGATATAATGTGTCACTTATCAACATAAAGAGCTTGTTAGCTAGACTTTTTAGTGGATTTGAAGACTCAACGAGGCCGTTTCTGCCATATTAATCATAAATTAACTAGTCGTTTGAATTAGAAAATTTGTTGTTAGTTAAACCATCTAAAGAACAAGGTTTTAAGATATAAAATACCAGGCTGCGACCAATAGGAGCAAAGAAACTGGGGGAAATGTAAAAAAAAAATTAAAAACTTCTTTGAGGATAAATTGTGTAAGGTTTTCACGGCCATCGTTCAGCATATCATTGTCTTTCGGGCTGTTCGGCCGATGTGAGCGAGAAGAGGCTCGACGTTTCGCCATCACGTGTGGACTGCATCCTCAGGAGATGGAGATAGTCAACAGTCGTGACAACGTCGTGGGAACAGCTTAAATTTGCTATGAAGAGAAGCTTTAAAAATCAAGGTTGGATGCCCAAACTTTTACATATAGTAGAAGTTTCTCAGGTCAACTAGTAATAGATAATTCTCGTATATGTTTTGTACATACATCTTTATGTATTCAGACATGCATGCCCTTGTTAATGATATTTGAAAGAGCCAAGTATCTGATCCGCTTGATGTCATAATTATAAGACGGCGATGGCATAAAGTATAATTCTGTTTTAATGATCTTGTCTTACGTCCTTTTGTCTATGAGTGTTTTTGTTCAACGTTTTTATTATAATAGTCGCTTTAATTGCTCCTTTACTCTGCTCTGCCTGGGAGATTCCATCTTAATGTTTATAATGAGAATGTTTTAATCTTGATTTTAGACTCCACTTTTTAAAAATCTTCTTTTACGTCTGTATATTTGTTTTTATAAAAGGTTATTTTTTAAAAGGCTTTTTATAATAAACTAGCACTGTGGTCGTATGTTTAGTTTATATATTCAGAAATTCATAAATATAAGAATAACGTGTTCTCTCGTATTACATGTAATTAACAATAAAAATATGAGAAAGCGACATTTATATCAATTATTAAACTATGTAAGTGTTTCAATAAATATACACTATAACGGTTTTAAACGCGATATATATTAGTTAAACTTATTTGAACCGTGTAAACGGCTGCTGCATCCGAAACGTCGGGGCGTAGTTAAAATAACGTTCAAATGAGTTTAAGTAATATATATTTCGTTTTAAGTGTAGACAGATTTGTGTGAGTGTTTTAAAAATATCTACACTAACGACATCTATTTTTTTATTAAGTACTTGGTGATAAACTTTTATTAAACCGTTAATAGCATTTTCTTTAAATGTGTACTATTTGTGTAAGATACAGGCAATACTTTAATTATTAACTAATCATCGTTAACAATTGTAATAAAAACCAACCTTTTTATCAAACAACCGAACATCTTTTGTAAAAAAAGGTATACAAAAAATAAAATGTACTTATTAAACTAGACAGTTCAAGAGGAGCTGGAACGTGTACGTTATAAGTACATTCGAATTATAGTTTTATTTAATGTGTAACAGCAGATTTACGCCTTTGATAATATATTCACAGATATAATAATTGCCACACCTTAACGGTTTGGTCCGTAAATATTGGACCACAATAAAAACTTGAACAGTGTCTTAACGACGTGATAAAATTCTGTTTACTATCGGGAACAGTAGGCGTCTGGCTGTAAGTGATGTGAGGTGAAAACATTATCCGTACTCTCTAACACATAATGAGTAGCTTATATCATATGACGTCATTCTAGAATTAAACATACCGAATGAATACAGTCCACTTTGCCGTAAAACCATACTTTAACGGTTTAAAACGCGCTTATATTAGTTTTTTTAACAGCGGCTTCATGGTTATATTATATTTAACTGGTTTAAGTATTTAAAAAATCTGGAAATAAAATGGGTCGTCCGTAGTCAAATGAAATGAATGACAAATTGATAAACCTTTAAATGAATTTGTTTTTAAAACTTCTTATGAATACGTAAAACTATACAAATATTTAAATAAAACACTTTAACGGTTTAAAACGCGCTAGTCTCGTAATCTATAGACAGTATTTAATATATCGCGTTTTAAACCGTTAAAGTGTTTTAATTAAATGTGTACTACTCGCGTAAACTATAGACAGTATTTATACAAATATTACCAAAAAACCAAATCCCCCCTTTTCACAGTTGTGCTTTAACTTGTATAAACACACATTCTACAGAAATACCATAACGTAACGTTGCTTAAAAGAGCAACGTTGCGGCCTCGAACATTTTAAGAGTTTCTTAAAAGTTCGCAGAAGACGCAAAATAAGGTTAAAACTATGAGAAACGTTTATAAGTTGTGAAAAGAATTTTAAAGGATAAGGAGTTTTACTCCATCACGTTTAGAGGTAGTGAGAGGCTTCTCTCATCATTTGTTAAACTATTTTCTCTAACAACAATATCTCCCGCACCTTTGACCACGTGTTCTTTGCAAGTCTGCTTGATCCTACTATAAACATATGAAAATAAAACACTTTTAACGGTTTTGAACACGATGTATATTAGTTAAGTAACATACGATTTATTTTTCCAACGGCAAAACACCAACTACGACGAAACAGATACCGTTAGCGTAGCAGTTTTGACTCTGGCATCAGAGATACCCTCCATCTTGTGACCACGGCTGTTACAAATCATCCAAACCCTCCTGTATGGGGCAAACACATTTCTATGTCTGTTTCACTGATCGGTTTTATTTAGAGGCAATTAGTTGATCTTGGGATTCGAGCCCATATCACGCGCATAACGCCATACTAGGCAATACGTTTAACCATTTTTTATTAAGTGAGCGAGTTTGTCTATGGTAAGGGAGGACAGACTTGATAGATGTCGGTTTTTTCATCTGTGTGACGGTGGTTTGTGACCCGAATGGAATTTCGACTTTCCTATCACCCATTTAAGACCCCGAAGGGGATCGAACACACCAAGCAACAAGCTCGTCAAAGACCTCTGTCAGAAAAAAATGCCTTACATCAACGTTGGATAAGCGCACAATCAAAAGAATCTTCTTCCGTCGTATCTACCCTCGTATAAAGACACAAATCATTCCCTCACATTAAAACCCGCCTGAACATTTAACCGATCGATAAAAGGTTTTTTAACGTATCAAGGAAATTGTCGGGAATTCGCCTTCTCCAACTGATCAAATATTTTTACATTCTCTTTGAGTTACTAAAAAGGCAAACGAATGTAGCCCATAAAGGAATATATTATCTACATATCTTCAAGTATAAATACTCGGCTATTCCTTTTAATCCACTTATTAGGGCGCCCTTACGTCAAATTATATTATTCATACAATTATATTATACAATTATGTTTTTCACATGTTATTTGCACATGAAGGCACTTATATATATGTATATATTATTTTCGATTTTTAAATTATATAGTGCCTTTATGTGCACAAAAAAACATACATGTTAAAAAATATTACGTTTATAACTTTGTAATTTTGTAACAAGGATTTAAGCTGCAAAGCATTAGACGTTGAGCCTTAATACGCAAGTGTAAAGGTTGAAATTATATTGCGCGAGAAGTGCATGTATCAATAAGTTGAAAAAATTAGCCACAGGAGTTAAAAATTAGCAGTAGAGCAACAGCACGGAATGCTGACGACGCCGGTTCAAGTCCTGCCCGACGAAAATTTTTCATTTATTTTCTAATTTTTAAATTGTATTTGATACGTTAACTTAGATAGAAAGTGAGGACTGACATTATTTTAAAGCCTATGGGTTACTGTATTACATTCAGTACAATTATAAAATAAGTAATATCCAATTCCAAACTAAGACAACTTACGTTTGTGCGGTGATGATGAACATATAATGAAAACAAAATCCCGTTTCCACTTATGGGGCTGGAACTAACGTAGGGGCATCCCACTAACTATGTAATTCACAGGTAAGTTGTGGACTCGACTTCTGTGCACTGCCACCGGAGTAATTTCTATTTTTCCTTTAAATATTTTGGATTTAAACCCAGAGTAAAGTTAGGTAAGCCATGACCAACGAAGGCGATTTTTGGACCACTGAGTCGAGTGAAAATTTTATAAAAGAATTTTTTATCTGAACTCCCCTAAAAACCTCTTCTGATAAAGAGTTTTGATATAGAATTTTTTTTTTAAAAAAAAAAAATTTTTTTTTTTTTGCCTTTTCGGGGGGGGGGGGGGGAAACTATCGTTTTTATGATAAATAAATCATCACAGTACCAAAAACCTTCAACACAAAAGCTATTTTGATACTTAATATATAGAATATCTAATTAGAACCATCTGTTAGATGTATTGTGTATTAGAAGGGCAGTAAAGCTTACTATCTTCATAATTAAATGAACTACTCTCCAATTACTTCACTCTCCGCTCTCGAACGATCACTTGTTGCTCTAGTTAAACATTAAAATGACTGTGATATTAAAAAGCCAACTACCCTATAAAAGAGATTCGACTAATTGGCGGTGAAAGCACGCTTAAAAACGTCATTGTTCTCATCCATTTGCGAATGTTTTCATCTTTTTATTGCTGAATTTGTTCTGTTAGGGTTTAAAGCAATAACGTTTTATTGATATTTGTGCAAGGATTCGAGACGAGTAGGATATATTATTGAATGTAGGTTATGATTAAAAATATATCAAAAACAATTAGGTGTAATTTTTAATTAAATGATATATTTTTCCACATGTGATTGTACATGAAGGCACTGTATAAATTAAGAACCGAATGATAATGAAAAAATTGGCACGTGCGGTAGTTGAACCGACTTCCACAGCGTTCCTCAATTGGTTTGAGTAGCACCACGAAATGCTATAGATACAGGTTTAATGTACATTGATTTTTAATTCAAATCAATGAATTACACCCACATTTTATTTACATAGGATAATTTCATTATTAAATTAATCACTATAGTACGCAATAACGTTACTTATTAACATTGTGCAATAAAATTCAACATTATTAAATTTTGTATCAAAAAAATACTCATAGAAATTATTATTTATTTTTGGCAATAGTTGTATTACTATGATTATAATACGCAGGTAAATTCAATGTGATAAGTCCGTCAGCATTGTATACCAAGTGGAAAGCTTCCTTTCAGAATGTCTCACGGAATTTCCATGTAACGCTGTCGTAATCTACACTTGATATCGGATGTCTCCCGCAAAACTAGATACCATGAGTAAGGACTTCTTTAGCTTTTTTCGACTCTCCAAATTATGCCTACATGAGATTGAAGGGCCCAATCAATATATTCGCTTTGTCTATCTAAAATAGTTACAAAGAAAAGTCTGATTATTACAAGCGAAGCAATTAAATGAAAAAAAAACAAGTTATCAAACACTTGGGATATTAAAAACTCTAGATTCCAAAAAACAGATACCGGCAAACGCGAAGACAGCGTTAGTCAATTCAGTAAGGACCCGGCCAGTTTCTGCAAATACCATCTACTACGGAACAGATGGCGCTAGCGTAGCACTTTTTACTTTTAAATTACAGACACTGTCTTCAGTCTCCCTGTGACCACGATTGCTGCAGAGCATCCGACGCGTAACTACTAATTATGCTTTTATTATATTCACCAAAACGGGGTAAAAAAAGGAGCGTGCCGCCCACTTATCATTTTGCGTCTTTGTTCAAAACAGGGAATGGCGAGAAAGAGACAAACATTAACTCGTTCTGGTAATGAAATTATAAACTTACATCAACGTCAATCCCCGGCTGAGCAAAGATGCGCGTAAAAGGGTACTCCTTGGGTAGATAGCTGAAGAACTCTTGCCTGCCCCTATACCACTTAACACTGTACAGAGTCTCGTTTCCCTCAAGAGTCCATTTGCAACCGAGCAGCACTGTGTCACCGAGTTTCACAGCCGTCGGAGCAATCAGTTGCACATCCCTTAACGCGATGGTATCTGTAACAAAGGGCCATAATACATTTTACAATTCAAATCGCTCTTATAAGATGTGCTTAATCGTATTCTCTGACACGCCTTCGTCTTATCTCGAGTTTTTAGGTTATGTTCGAGCGTTCGCGATTTTAGGGTTCAGTGAGTGATAAAAATGGTTTATTTGTTGTCTGGTATACTTTGTCCTCAAAACTTTGTACTATCTATTATTAACAAAATATAAATATAATCAAAACATATCTTAAAAACCTAACCTAAAGTCGTAACCATAATGATAATCTGTAGGAACGCTTGTTCTATATGTACCGTTCCTGGGCATAGCTCTCTTCTCGTACAAGATACAATTTAAGAGCTCGGACCCACCATGCTGCTTTAGGCCGCTACTAACGTACCAATGACTTAACTTGTTGGTTTGTTGTTTGGAAAAGGCAACATCTTCATGCATTGGATACACGATGTTGCCACTTCCAAACTCCAGTCTAGCAAACAAGTAAATTTAAAATACAATAAAAATATTGTGCTAATATTTTGAGGAGAGGAGAAACAAGAGAAGGGGAGAAAACTAAAAAAAGAACAAATCGAAGAACCAAAATAAATTATAAACAAAGTGGCATAAAATTAAGTTAATAAATTGTCATAGAAATAAAGAACAGCCTGTAATCTAAATAAGCTAATCAGATAAATCGAAAGTAAAATGCGACGAGCTATTCCCGCAATCCTTATTTAGAGAATGGCTACAAAATTCTGCAAGCTAGCAATCAATTTCCCGGTGTTGCCCACATTACACAAGCGTTTGTCCGAGAGCCGTATTTTTCTTTTACCGCCATCAGTCGACGTATATTAGCACAGAGCCGCCCCACTGCCAGCGGGCGCGATATTTTATGCTTTCTAAATTAATCATTCAGTCTTTTCGCCTCGTTGTTTCGATTTTAGCCAATATTTTTTGGATTCTTTATTTCCTATATGTAATATATCACAATTAGATAACCATATTGAATACGCGTAAACTATAGACATAGTTTACGCGAGTAGTACACATTTAAATAAAACACTTTAACGGTTCAAAACGATATATTAGTTAAATTTATGTGAAAATGATTTTTAACTTCGGCCCGACGTTTCGGATGCTTTGCAGCAGCCTGGTACATCGAAAGTTAAAAATGTTTTTTTAACCATAATATTGAATTTTTTTCTCAATTAAAATTTGTAATATTTAGTGCGATTTTGTTCCTGCCTGCTAAAAATTGTTGATCTAAGCATAAATTTAATGTTTTATTATTTTAATTGTTATCAATAGAAAACGTGGAGCACGTGTTTTTTTGGGAGTTATGACTCCAAAACTGAACACCCTACATGCTTTATTGCACAAACTATGGTAAATAATGAAAGGTGGATTTGAAATTTGTACCTTTCAAGCATACCTATGTGTAACATGTAACTAAACAAAAAGAAGTAACTTAAAATGATTTTATTAAGGACTGTGAGTTCAAAATCAAATATTTATAGTTAATTTTTTATTCTCACCTTTTATCAGGCTTTGAATTCTGCCATTAGTCTGGGAATTAAGCAACTCTAGAAGAAAATGTGTTTCTAATTACCTTAAAGTTTAAAGCAATTAAAACAGAATTACCTTCGGTTAATCTTATTTAAATTTAACAGGGGAAAAAAGTAAACGCGCAGAAAAATTGTTTTTAATGGGGCACAGGTATCATTTTAAAGTGAATCTTAGCTTTTTTGTCCAACAGAATTATTAACAAGTATGTAAAATTGTATAATTGATCAATTGATAAAAAGAAATTTAACCAAATAGAGCGAATATAACATTGTGCCAGGCCCGTTTGTGTAATGTTAGCAATGTATGGTTTTAACAGGTCGTGGATGCGATTCCCACCGGGTCCAACATTGTTCTATTCGATTTATAATTTTTCTGAAACTTTTTGGACTTTATCTGGATATTACATCAGTAGTAGGAATATCGAAGTTTTACCCGGGTCATAAACTACCATATACAGATGAAAAGCTATGAAGTTTAATCGCATTCCGGTTTCAGTCTGTGAATTTAAAAGAGCTTTAGTTTAATGTAACGTTTTGTAAACCAGAAGCGGCGAAATGGCGAACGAATACCACACACTTATAAAAATGAGAAGATTTGCAAAAATACATTTTGATGTCCTAAAGACTCGCGCCCGTCGCAGGCACAGCTAGTGTATATAGTGGTATTATTATTATTGCAATATTAATCTAGCTATAACAGCATATTATTATATGATTTCCGTCGACAATGGCACATCATCGCTTACGTTACGACAGCGAACAATTACGTTACATCAAGCGACGGCTGGGCCCTAATGCAATTAGAATCCAACGCCGATTTATACGTAATTGCACCTACCGGCACAGGTGTTTATGATTATATTGCAGTGTACTATTATTCCTCTGGATAATAGCGCTGTTGCCAACCGAATAGGGACGTCTTAACTGTTATTACTGGCCTTAACCCGGGGCGGAGGTCTTTTGTGGCTTCCTCTGCTGGCCTTATTTTTACATGCGAATAGTGTCTTTGTAGTGGCGGATAATGTTTCGGGCTTAATAGCGTAGAGGTAGCGATAGGATTTGCTCTTTGAATATTTCTTGGACTTACTACGCAATGTACACATCAAGTCCCGGTTTCAGTCTGTGGATTTCCGAATATCGAAAGTCAAAAACATTATATTATTCATTCTAACACCTGCACAGGTATGAAAAATAATGAATATCTCTGTGTCAAAATACTTCTCTTTTCAAGACTTTAATGTCCTTAAAAATTGAGGATTGCGTCGCAGCTGTGGAAACTAAAATTATTTATGATAGTCAAACATTATTAGAGTTTTCTCGTGCTATCTTTAAAAATATCTAAATGACACACACTCGCACACATTTTCGCTTAATCACGTTAATGTTCTTCTATTGTAAAATTAATAGCCCACAGTTCAATATTGATGATTTGAACCGTTTCGTTACTAAGCCCAATTATTTGAACATTATTTGAAATATTAATATAATCGCTTCTTAATTACCCTTAAATTGTGTAAATATAGATAGTAACATTTTAGTACAGCACAGATTAATGTTGGCAGTTGGCGCGGATCAAATAAACGTGCAATATGATATTTGCAGGTGCATAAATTTGCTATGATGAAGGTAATTATCCTACGAATTCCAATTGCACACGTGGTACATATATGTAACATATAATATAATGTTTATGTTAGTTGCTATCTTTGGCTCCTCGCTTAGTCTCCATCAGTTTGATTCAAATAATTACGTTTCGAACTTAACACCGTGTATTGTCCGTAGTTCACGCAATTAGTTCATATTAAAACACTTTTAACGGTTTAAAACGCAAAATATATTAGTTACTTATATATAAGTAGCGAGGGAAATCCATTTGTTACTCCCGAACAACACAGTTTATGTCATTTGGTTAGATCAGCAGAACGGATCGCAGGCCGTATCGTCATTTTTTTCAATCGGTTTAGATTTATTTATATATTAAGATACCATGCAGTAACATGTGGTTTATGGAAAAACACGCGTACAATTGTATTTAATAACGTAGCTAGCATAAATCACAATCTGTGTGGTCATATTATTACTTACTTACGCCGCTGGCGCAGCGACCCGAAGGCGACTTCCGTCGATCCTGCGTAACGGCTCGCCACTCGGAGACACCGAGTTCTTTCAGGTCAAACATTGAACTGTTTATATTAAAATCAAATATTTCTAGGCTAGCCTATTAATCATTCTCCCTGTAAATCTCAACTATATTAGGACGACATAAATCAGTTGTAATACAGCACTTTTTCAGTTACCTCGCCTTCCTCTTAAACTTCAACATACATTTACTTTTCACACTGTAAGTACATGTGAAAATAATAAATTTTACAATATCTATAATCACTATAACTCTTATAGGCAGTATAGCCAAGAGTATAAATTAATCCTTGCAGCGGAAAAAGCAAAATCTGGGATCCATGACCGAGCGTGTTACGACAGAAACATCGATCAAAGCAATTGACAGCGTGCATCCGATCCGTGGAGTAATATTTCGTGACCGAAGCGAGGGTTATTAATATTAAAAAACGTAACACGGCGACGCTAATAGCATTGCTTTTTTATTGGAACTATATTTTTTCCATGATAGAGGAGGACAGAAATACCCCAGCCATATAACATTACCATTAACATTACATTAACAAATGTGCTGTCGACTTATTAGAGCGCCGCACATTCGTAAATCTGACAATTGAAGCCGAAACGCGATTAAGCTTGACGGGTTTTTCATCTGAGCGCGTTCGTAATCCAGACGGATTTTTTGATATATCTAACACCTGTATAATATCCAGATTTAAAACTAATATTTTCTTAGAATTACAAAGTGCTAAGATGTTGGATCCGATGGGGATTGAATCCACTATACCATTGCTACCATTAGACTAACGAGCAAACCTTATTAGGTAACTTGTATCAAAAGATTCTTATGTAGCGTTCATTCCTTTGATTTTAAAATGAGGATTGATATATATTATGTATAATACGTGTTAAAATATATAGCAACTATGTCATAAAAATTGTGTAAGGCTTTCCAAGCAATCGAAGAGCTTACAACTCCTGATGATGCCTTCCGCTCGTGATAGCGAAACGTCAAGAACCTCTTCTCGCTCTTACGCTCTTCGGCCGAACAGCCCGAAAAACAATAACATATTTATGTATATATCGGGGTAGAAAACCTCTCAATATGAGTAAGTTTTTGTTACTAGTCAAACGATTTGTACTCGTAGTTTAGACGTAAAATTACAGCAGACCGAACGAAATAATTGCGAATTTTGCGTTTAACAGAACAAATCGCTTGCAATCAACTATGCCTTTCATTAGGTTTTACTAAACCAATTTCGCTATTCAATATCGACTAATGAATTCCAATATTAGACGAAGCTTAGCACTTTTAAGATTAACTTCCCTGCACGTTATTCCACTCGCACGCGAAGCTTTATAATTAAACCAGTTATTGAATGGTACTTTTTAATGAAAGCTCGACTAAATCGGATTACTTGAATAAAAAGTTGGCCTAATGGATAGAAGGCCATTAGTCGATGCCAAATAAATTTCGGTAATCTCGGAGCGTAACTGAATCGCTAGGTATCGAATCAAACAAGCAGCGTCCATTACCCGAATGGACCGCGCACCGATACCAATTATGTCTTCGATAAATATCCTGTGTCCTCGTATAG